AGCCTACCCAGTTTTGCCGAGGGCGGTGAACGGGATCGACCCGATCTGGCAACCTGGCCCATACCCGCACCTGTCAATCGCATCTGCTCAGCCACAGTTTATTATTGAGCGTCAACAACCAACCCATTCAACCGTTTCTCACCGTCTTCATCCTACACACGAACTCCGTCTTCGGATCATCTCAGTAAAACGATTCTACTTTATACAAACATACTTGTTCTCTCTTCAATTATACACTTATATCATCCATCATGACATTGGCAGAGGAATTCCGCTCGAGAAACTTCAGTATGTGTCTTCGTCCTTTACGTTCGAGAGGCAAGAAAGAGCCAGATCGCTAATCATTTAACTCGTGTATAGGTATCTACGGACAATGGTTTGCTACCCATCCTTTACTTCTTCCTCCCTTTTCCTTGGATCCTTCTCAATGTTGAGCGCGGCCCCAAACCCCATGTCGGGGGAGAAATGGCGGTTGCCTGAATCTACCATCAGGCCTCCTCACACTGGTGGGCTTGAGATTGCCACAACTCTTTCAAAGGGTTCACGGCATGGAGTTGCGAATCTCTAGCGACGACAGTTTTATCGCGAACTGTTACCGTTCTGGTCTGAAAGCCTGCTGACTTGATCTTGGATAGGACGGGTGTGCTGTGCATCATCCTCTGCATTGCCCTCGGAATCGCAAACATATTCTCTTTTGCTGTTTTGCGCATCGTCTTCAGCGTACTATGCCTGTAAGCCAGTCCCACTAAGCAACGCTCTGGACAGTGGAGCTGACGATCACAGTGTCTCGGGCCTGATCCTCATCTTCATTGAAGTTCCTTTCTTGCTCAGAATCTGCCCTACCTCCTCCAAGTTCGATGCCTTCATTCGGCGCTTCACTACCAACTGGATGCGCGCTGCGATGTACGCCATCATGAGTGTCATTCAATGGCTTAGTCTTCTCCCTGGCTCCGGTGCATCCAGTTTGATTGTCGCGGCCGTCTTCTTGCTGATCGCTGCTATATTCTATGCCTTGGCGGGCTTGAAAAGTCAAGAATTCGTGGGCAGCAAGACTCTTGGTGGGCAGGGACTTGTCCAGATGATCGTTTGAGGAGATATTCAACCAAGTCGTTTCTCGGAGTATTGGGTACCTGGGAACTCCCTGAACCTCATTGGATGCACACCAGAGCGGAAGGAGAGTCGAAGAAAAGAAAAAAGGGATCACAACCATCATTCCCGCAGTGTATGCGCCATGATTATGACTGCCTGAAAAAGGCCTGTACTTTTATCTCATGTTGGATTGGCGGATGCCGAATTCGTCTGAGTTGGGAACGTTGAAGGAGCGAATGTCCATTTCATACTCGTTCTGCATTGATTGAATTTGCATGTGTCTTTACTGTTGCGCAGATTTTCATCCTCGGCCGTGGCTCGAAGGTCTGCGAGCTATATTGCGAGTGCAAGTATACCACTTAATACCCTGTTAGCATCCTGGTGATGAATGAATTACTTTAGAGAGGAGAAGATATCCAATGCTTTCGGTCCCTGCAATGGTCTCTGAAAAAAAAAAAAAAAAAAAAAAAAAAAAAAAAAAAAGGAAAAAAAAAGGTATCAACCTACACTGCAGGAGGCAATATGTGCGTGATAAATTCACTGCTATGAACTGTGTTTATGCCCATGAGACGAGTCAAACAGTAGGCCCGCTTATATTATATTTTTCTGTTACTGAGATGTCAGTCTCACTAACAGCTTTGAAGGGAGTATATCACAAGAACCTTTCTCTAACTGCTCCCTTCAAAGAGGCAGGAACCATAACAAAGTATCTCTTACTAACCAGAATATGATTAATGTTTAATTTGGTCTCCCATTACAGGCTTCTGCGCTCGTGTCCGCGCCTGGACTCCGGCGTGGCCTAGGTAAGTGGCCTGGTCAGTCTGCCATTCACCACACAGCACACATCAGTTTCTTCCTTTGAATACCGCTATCTACAACTCCGTACCTAGGTATCAATATACCTAGGCAGGCTGTTAATGATGCCGATCGACTGTACTAGAAAAACCGCTTTACGTCATTTACCCCTCCACGAGGAGAGAAGTCTTTACCCCGCGTTTTGAGGACCACTAGCTGGAAGTTACGAGCAGGAATTGAACACGGTGATTCCGTTCGTACTCCTACTGCGGGTACGGAGTATCCTATGCTCGAGGAGGTCGAAAATGAAACTCAGGTGTGATGAAGACTACTGTATTCCTTTTGGAGGTCTTCGCAAAGCACAGGATAGAAGCTCAATGCCCCGACTGTACTCCGTAAGATGTCAATGTCCGTGTTGATGCATTTGCCAAGTGGCCGGCCCATTCCTCGTGTTCTAATCAGAGAGAATCTGATGCTTGCATGCTTGTTTGCCAGACTGCGTTAGTCTATTAGACTTGAGTTTTTAGCTGTGATCATAGGGCGCAGAGAATCAGGATTTGCACCCCAATGAAAGATTTGATAATCCTTTCAGTGCAATGAAAGAAGTACACGTGAGAGCCTGGGATACTAGAATTTTAATCAGTTCTGGAAAAAATTGATAGATAGGTGGAAGCATAGAATCATCTAAGGACATCCATGAACAAGAAGATCGCGATGATGTGATCTCCATCTGATCTCTCTGCTACCCCTAGTGGTCAGCCACTCCACCCCAGTATTTGTGTAATCTGATTACCCTTAAAGGAGGTCCACACTGTGTGGCGGTTATCATTCACTCTCTGTTTGTTATGTCAGTGCTGAGATTGGTCGGGAGTGGATCCGTTGCAGGCCTCAGGCCTACGAGCTGAGAGACCCATGATTTAAACTCGAAGGCCAGAAATAGGAACAAGCACGAGTATAACTCGGGTTTGGAGGTTACCATTTGAGCAATGACAACATGGACTTGTCAGTCAGTTGATAGAGAATACTAAGAATCTTCCAAATTGTCCCATTCATTCACTCAAAACTGACAGGTGGTATCATGAATGGCCATCAGGACAAAGATGCTGGTGCATGATGCAATCCTACTATGGAGTGCTTAAACCCTTAGATGCTCACCGCCTCGGCAGCAACAGCCATACAGACTTTAAAGAGAGAGCATGCTTTCATACCATTAGGGCCAGCGAGACACACCGTATATCTGTTGTCATTGAGACCGGCTCTGTTGCCAGAGCAGAAGACATTGATGTTTTCAGGCTAATGCAGTCAGTGCCTAGAGCTCATTATTATTATTGTCTAGAACTAGAATACGCACAGCCACAAGAGAAGGATTCTATTATTCCATTCAATGAGGAGTGGGCGGTCAGGTGAACACCACTGGGTACCTAGCTAATGTACCTTGTAACTTTGTAAGGATACATGTACTCCGTACTGACGACTATGGTTTTTCGACCATGGTCTGGTGCGACCCACAACTGCTTTATCGCTTTTTCTGGGGTCAGGAGGGAGAAGGATTTTCTTGAAATAGTAAGTAGAAAGGGGGCGACATAGTGATTAGCCTTCCAACGTGACTCTCTATGTAGGGGTGTTTTACCCATAATAGATACGCTAGATCATGGCTTCTGGTCTTCAGGTAGAGTCCATGAGAATGCTCAATTTTATGGTCTGAAGATGCAAGAATTGTATCAGATAGAATCCACCCATGTAGATATCGAGCAACGTTAAAATGCCTCAGATTAACAAGATATGGTGATACCACTTTTATTATGCAGCTACTGCATAGGTATATCCCTCACCCCGGAGGGTTGAATATGATTGGCACAAAGTCACTCCCGCAACCTGAGGCATTTACTCCCGCTGTATCAACCCAACTTACTACCTACTTGCTAGTACCCTGTACCTGGCAAAATTCCAGGTACGGAGCTCTTGACCACATAGATTCCACATGTTCTTTATCCTACATAGCTAAATGTACGTAGATGATTAGAAGAGATCTAAGTCCAATTCTTCGGTGTCAGATAGAAAACTTAGTGTCCATCCATTGAGAATCAGCATTATTAGAAAAGCCAAAAAAAGGAAGATTAGAGTGGGGCAGTTCACTAATCCTAAAATGGAAAGACATGAGCCTGAGGTACCCGCACGCAATTGCAACGAACGACTTTGAGTGGTTTACCGCCCACGTTCTGTTACCAGACGGTTCTGTAACAGTGTTGTACCACAAGGGCTAGACACAGCGGGGGCCCAGCGTTTTGATGCCGTCAGAGAACGTCACGCGACGGGGCGGTGGGCCATGGCAGGAAGAAAGCGGTTAGGCTGGATTTACGGCCACTCTGCCATGCAAAAAGTCATACATCATCTGCCTGCTGCTATGTGCCTCTAGTACTCCTGCTGCTGCTGCTTTTCTCTCCACCATCATCATCACATCTCCTCCTATCCGAATTCTCTGCATTCAATCTCCTTACACTCCTACCTATCCGTCAAATAATTTCTGAAATCATCTGTTCACCAATTGTTCTGTTTCCTTCCATTCGCTCATCTTCCAAAAGCGTGAGCCAGTTTAGCTATCAGTTCTTGGAATTGGTCCACAATCGGTAAGCAACCCATGCTGCATGATGTTATCAGCCTCCTCTTTATTCCCTGCTATGGCTATCTCTTTTGCTCTGATTCATCGGGGAACATTGGGATGTTTATGTGAGCTTGCACATGGCAAAGCCAAGAGCGTTATCAGCTCAGCGTCCTTCTGGATCTGCCTTATCTCAAGCCTATGACTCGTTACTGGAATCTCCCCCTTTCAATGGCACCTACCCATTGAACTTCCCATGGATTTGTCTCGATGGCCTTAGAGCAACCAAGCACATTGAGGACCGTTGATGCAATCCTCCATCCACTCAATCTCCATCTTGCAGCCCAAGGTGCGGGGAAGCTCTTTAGCTAGCACAGCTGCCCTCTATCATCTGTTCTCCTGAAGCCCGACGCCTTCAAGTGTCAACCCCAGCACTTGATCAAACCTTAGCTAACATCATCTCTGAAGCTCTACTTTCTAGCATTAATTTGAGGTTCTTCATCTCCCTACGAGAATCATGGCGACACAAGCAGGCCCCGTCATTCCTCCTCGACCATCGAGGTCCCCTCAGTCGAATCTTGCCCCCAATTCGTTATCAGACATGCCAACGATCCCTCCTCGTCCCAATAGGAGCGTTGAACGCTCCGTGTCTCCTCTTCGGGACAGCTATGCTCCTTCCCCATTGAACGAACCTCCGAACGCTGCGGGAATGACTCGTACCGTGTCCAACGATCTTCCACAGCGACCCCCAAGTGTGACGATACCGTCACTTGGAGAAGAGGGTATCGAGTACCAGAACCTAGATATTGGCAATGTGTCAGATGGCCATCACCAAATTGGTACTCCGGCGGAGACCAGGAATGTGGGCAGTGATCTCAAGATCCATGCGCCCCGACCATCATTGCCCGTTTCGAGCGCCAAGGCAAGGGTGCAGGCTGTTACTCGTACAGATTCGCGTCAGGCCGCTGCTGCAGGTCTCGGCGTGTCCGGATCGCCGGTGCCTGATGACCATCACGAGCGCTCGAGTCGCTCGCTTCACTCCAGAGCAAGTGGCTCGCGCGCAGACTCTTCCACCGCATCCTCTGATCGTCGACGCTCTCTCCAACTTGCCGCTGATGAGCACGGAATTCCTGAAATCGGTCAGAGAGTTCCCATGTATCCCAACGCGGGTGATGTGCAAGCACCGTCTCCAAGCCCCTATCAGTTGGAGCACGGAGGTCAACGCCAGGGACGCCACCATCACCGAACTCGCAGCGGCCGTGAGGCCTCCTTACCCCCCGGAAGCTATGGACTCCATGGACATGGTGTGCCTGCCACCGACAAGTTTGAGAAGGCTTGGTATGACAAGCATCCCGAAGAGTACGTCAAGGTCGAACACGGTCAATATGGCCCTGGCGTCGGAACTCCCCGCCCGGATTGGGCACTGAGCAGCGATGATCTCAACAAGATCGTCCGTAGCTCTGCTGTGACCGGCTCTGGTCTCGGTACCTCTCCTAATGTTGCGGGTACTCCAGATGAGGAGGTCGGTTACATTGCCACGGATGAATACACCCACCGTATGGCGACGCCGGCTCCCGAATCGCGCCGCAGCTCGCGCCTGATCGGCGAGTCCCCCCTGCGTAACACGGACGTCCCCGCTTCAGAAGCTGGCGTTGAGCGAGTGGGGGGCAAGACTGAAGACGCTGGTGTTATCCATGTCGATGATCCATACCACCCGCTTCATCATCCCGATGGTTTCGCACCAAACCCAGCCCCTGAAGAACAATCCCATGAAGTGGGTGGGGGGCTTGAAGATGAAGATGAACCTATTTTGGCTGCCGATGAACTCCGCCCAGAATCGGCCTTTCAACATCCTGCTGTCTCTCCCACCTTCGATAGGCGGGCTAGCGACTATGATGGCAGGAGTCGCACTCCTAGCGTTAACCACAGTCGCTCAAATAGTCGCTCTGCTACTCACGGCATGCCCGCTCTCGTGAGATACAACTCGCGCGACGAACGTGAAGAGACACACACGCCTCTTGATGACGTGGAGGAGTACGAACCACTCTTCCCCGAGGATGATAAGGACAAGAAGCCCATTTCCGCTGCGGACCGCTTCAAGCAGCGCCCTGAAATGCTCAAGCACCGATTTCCAAGCGAAGATATCTGGGAAGATTCTCCCAACAGTTTGCAGCTTCATACCACTGTTTCCACACCGGACGTTCCTAAGCACGAGGCGTTTGAGACGCCGGAACAGGAGTCGTTCCGCCGCAGTCACGCTCCTCACCTTGACCCTCGCCAGGTCGCAGAAAACATCCTTGAGTCCGAAGAATCAAAAGAAAAGACTCAACCGCGCCCTGAGATTTGCAAACAGCGGTTCCCCAGTCGAGACATTTGGGAAGATGCACCCGAGAGCCAGACACTCGTGACGACAATCGAGCCCTCGGAGGAGAGTGAGGTGAAGAGTCCCGATGTACCATCGAAACCCGCTATTCCATCTCGCCCTCCGAAGCTTTCACAACAGGCTCCTGCGGTAGATGCCTCCTCGAAGCCAGCAACCTCTCCAACAGAAAAACGACAGCCGCCCAGCATTCCAGATAAACCCAAGCCACAGATTCCTGCTCGACCAGCCAAGCCTATTAGCCGTGGAGCCGGAGAGGAAGGTCCAGCCAAAGAAAAGCCAGCCGTGCCCGTTCGGCCCAACGGAAGCAAGATTGCTGCACTTAAAGCAGGGTTCTTGTCAGATCTAAATTCGCGTCTGCAGCTGGGTCCCCAAGCGCCAAAGCCCCAAGAGAAGAAAGAGGAGGAAGCTCCGGCAGAAAAGGCACCACTGAGTGACGCTCGCAAGGGTAGAGCTCGTGGTCCTTCCCGGCGAAAGCCAGCTTCCGAGAGCGTTAGCAGAAGGCTACCGACTATTCCCGAAATTAAGATCACCGAGACTTGGAATGTTTGGCAAGTTGGTGAGGATGGCAACCTGACGGTCGAAACCGGAGTTAAGGCCAATCAGCCTGAGCCGGCTGCACCTGAAGTCTCGACTTCAAAGGACACCATGGCCCCAGCCTTGTCAAAGAACATCGCCGGCGAATCCACTGATCCGTCCCCGATGGCGGCGGCCAAGGAATCTGCACCCGAGACAGCTGAGACGATACCAAGCGCCGATGAGGAGGCTGCGGCTGTGTCTGCTGCGCAACCCTCGAAGCCGGACGAGGTACAAGAAACGTCTTCAGATGCGCAGTCTAAAATCAAACCTAGTATATCGCCCCCGGTAGACGACGCTATTGAAGCCATGGCTGCTACTGCTGACGGGAAAAGAGCGTCGGAAGGCTCTGTGCTCGCCGAGGAGCAGTGAAAAAACTTGCTTTCTTTTCTGGTCAATTGAATCTTCTTCTCTATGGCCTTTTTGATATCATCGTTCTTTAGTCAGTTTGAGACAGCAGCAAAATGAGTTTCCGTCTAGCATTCATGTAGACTGCCTCCGGCCTGGAGTGCTCATGATGTTGGTCATTGACCAGAACCCAATTATAGGTGGACGATACCTTCATTTTACAATTAGGAACTATGCTAGTACTACATGGCATGTAACAACAATGAACGTCGTTGCAGGTAGCTGGAGACTTGAATCTGTATTATTCTGGCCTAGCTGTGGAGACATAATGACAGAAACTTGTAATTTAGACGAATTTGCCTTTTAAGACTCGTCAAGGCTGTTGCGCCGCAAAATTCCCAGATCCTCATCCTGAACTGCTTCGACTCGAAAGGCCGAGACTACTACATTTTCAATTTGAAAGTTAGGAAGATTCACATGCATGGAAGCAAACAGCAAAAGCATCCGGCGGCTGCGAATTTTGCGCAGGGCCGGTTTAGCAATCTGAACAGCGCTCGCTAAAAAACGAAGCATGTGGAATTTCCAGAAGATGCGAATATTTTTTTCTGGCTCGGTATGACCTGAAATCTCTTTGAAAATGTAAGTTAATAAAACGAGCCGAACAAGCTGTTTCTTTTATGTTCAGTGCCCCGGGGGGGGGGGGGGGGGGTATCATGAGATGTATGATAGATGAAAACACGCGAAAGCTAACGATTGGACAAGTGTTTACGCTTCTCGCTAGGTAGCAACGCATGGGGGTTGAGTTCTGAGGGAACTCGGGAAAGAGAAGAAGCGTGTAGCCGTTCAGCTAGCAGGCAGGTTCTTCATGTCGCCCTTTCCGTCCTTGATCCACTCGGGGTCGATCAGGCGCTCGCGTTCAGCGTAGAGTTGCTTGTATGCGCCGCGAATGGTACCGTCGCTGACGTGTGCGACCTGGGAGATCTCCTTGGCGGATTTACCGTGGCCCATGAGATAAGAAGCCATGTAGATGCAAGCGGCGACGATCGACAGAGGCGACCGTCCAGCGAGGTCTCCCATAGTCGTCACACGGTCGGAAAGAGCAGAGGATACACTCGTAACTTGGTACGGTAGATCCAAGAGGTTGCAGAAACGGTTGCAGAGGTCGCTGGGCTTGGTTGAAGTTGTCGCGGTGTAGGTGTCGTTCGGGTCGGGAACACCACCACTGGACACAACGGCGTTGATCCGTTCCAGGTTCTGAGCCGTGAAGAACTTTTCCAGAGCCTTGTAGATTCGACCAATCTCCTTTCGGGTGACCTTGGTGACCGCAAAGATTTCGGTGAAGGTCCGAGGGACTTTGCACTGGCGGCAAGCGATGAAGATGCAGCCAGCGATGATGACTTCCTGCGACTTTCCCTTGAACGCCTTGGCATCGTCCACGATCTTGAAGAGATATTTGGCTGTATCCGCGACGTTCTTCTGAATGTTGAAACCATCGCACAGCGCCCCGATTTCCTTGTAGGCCGCCAACAGAGCCTTGTTCGCCTTCTCGCTCGACTGCTTGTTTTGTGCCCGGTACAGTTCTCGCGCGCGACCAGAGCCTCCGCTGGCGATCTGGGTCTCAAGCTGGTCACCGTTCAACAGAGGGTTTGTGGCATCTCCGACACGCGAGGGGTCGTCGTTATTCTGGTCATCGTTGGAGAACGTACGCCATTCAGAGTGCATATCGATCTCTCGGTCAGCGAGCACCAGGCCACAAGAGCCGCAGACTGTCTCATGTGAGTCAGGAAACTCGAGGTTGGGCGGGACCTCCCTGCACTCGGGACAGATGAGATGGGCCGAGAGGTTCTTCCTCCACTGGCCCATGTCGGGACGGGCAGAGGTAGAAACACTAGCCATTTTCACTTTGTCCCGATTGACTGCAATCTGTTGGATCGAGTCAAGAGGGGTGAGCCGAGAGATGAGAGAGAGGTGAAGAGGCAAAGGTGAAGTCAGAAGTGTTGCCGCCGCCGTTCTGGAGTAGTAAGAGCCGCATGGTTGCTGAGTCAGCCGCCAAGCCGAAGTGTCCCGAAGAATCCATCGAACGTTCAACGTCGGCTTCACGGACCAAAGCCATATTATTCTTCGCAAGAAACCCCATCCCCAGGTTCTCCCCTCATTCATCACCCCGCCGCGATGATGTCTCAGACTCTCAGAGCTTCGGTAAATCCGTCCCATCTGTAGGAGAATGGTTCTGGGAAAATAAGGTTGCTAATTGCTGTCTGATTAGCGCTCCCTGCTCGCCCGCGTCTCTCGGCAACAGGTTTCTTCTGTTACCCGCCGCTCCTTCCTGACCTCCGCTGTCCGTCAGGGTATGTCCCGATCGATTATCCCCTTGGCCTTATTCGATGTGAACAAATGAGGGCAATGCTTGTATATGATGGAGTTTGTGTACTGTGTCTAACATCGGATACTCGTTCTAGCCGACCCCGTTCAGGAGCTCTACCTGCGCCAACTCCAGGCCTACAAGCCCACCCCCATCAAGCCCGGCGACGCTGAGGCCCACGTCCAGAAGTTCTCCGCTCCTGCTGCGCCCCAGTCCCCCGAGGAGGCCAACCTTGCCAATGATTTGAAGGCCTACGAGAGCCAGGATGTTGAGGTTGAGGGCCAGGCCGCCCCCGGTGAGGCCGCTCCTGTTGAAGAGAGCTGGTTTGAGGAGGAGCCTGAGGAAGAGACCGCTCACCACTAGGTTTATTGCTTTCTGGCAAAGTCTGAGAAATCAGGGCTGATGGGCAATGGGATGGGAACAAGAGAAAACCTACCATTGATGAGTCCTGAGGAAATCTTGTAAATTAAACCTACTTCGGAGCATATGAACCTGTTTCTTCCTTTCTTCTACTGTTGCAAGCAAATATGCGCATGGATCTTCCCCTGGGGCAATGAAGTGATAGTGTGGTTGTAGTGTGCTCGGAGAAGGCATGCTTTAGGAGAACAGTCTATTTCGACTGAGCTGATCGACTCTCACCTTGTTGTTTCAGGCTCAAGGTAACGCTTATATATGCGCTTGAGATTGCTTGATTCCATCTTGCTCACCTGCATTACTGAGTGTTCTGCGGGTGCGCTATTCATGGCCTCAAAAGTTGCCAAAACTCCTTCAGGGACTGAATCGCCGCTTATAATCTTGTCGTTAATTCCGTTCCCGCACCTGTACTGATTCTAATTACTGGACGAGTAGATGGAAGCAAAGAATAAAAGCCATCTACCCTTCGCTTCAGAAGAAGTTCGCATCCAGATTCCATTCCAAGGACGTACTGAGCTATCGAAAAAAAGATATGCGGGCGATTCGCAATACAGAGAGCATAACGTGTCCATTGCCGTCATTGAATGCAAGAGTATGTACTTTGATTACATCTTTTGGCTGTTGCGTCGCACGCAGGGGGTCAAGGTGTGTGCGCCGCACCGCCGATAATCTCGAGTATTGATGTCCAGGCGCATGGCGGCATATGACAGCTCCAGAAAGTATAAAATCCGGACTTCTGGAAACATCAGACCGCCAGATCTTGTCCTTCGGAGAAGAATCTCGAGTTCGCTCGGTTTCGCTGGCTTTCCCCGGTGCGGTGCTGTCTGGAAGGCCGAAGGTCAGTCTTCCGGTCTTTCTAGATCGGTGCTAAGCGAGAGGTTGTCAATGCAGCATTGCGCCATGGTGGATCCTGCAGTGTCAATAGATGGACGATCCTAGAAGCTGCGTAAAGATTTAGGGTGTAGCATTACGTGCAGCGATCGATTTCAATTCCTCCTGGGCCGATGGTACACAGACAGAGAGAAGGAAAGTAGGGATTACTGAATGCTACAACATATAAAGATCGGATAAGGAGGACATACTGTGATTGGAATGTTCATGGGACACCTGTCACTGTGAGTACAGTGGACAACATTCTTGATGATCAGATTGAGAAGATTTGCTCTGGACAATAGACTAGACAGCCATTCATCATGAAGAGCATTGATGTTGAGGATTGATGATGAGGTACGAAAGTTAAATGGGCGATTTTATACCGACAAATGAGCCGAGCCATTTATACATGGTGGTTCGGGCTCTATTTCCTACCTGTTGTCCTCTTATTTCCGCGTTTAAAGCGTGGAGGAGCCCAGCTCATGTTAGTTAACGTAGGTAGTTATACAAATGATTACTGTACCATGCCTAGTCGGTTGAGTCTCCAATCCAACCACCGCTGCGAGGATGTCATAGGCGGCATGCGTAGGTACTATTTGATCATCGATAACTGGGGACAGACTATTGGATTAAAGATCCATCTTAGCCTTGCATCTGGAGGAAAACGGACCCTTTTTTGAGTGAACAACTCATCGAGGGAATAATACGAGACATGTCTTAGCGTTTGGACAAGTGGCTCAGCTCGACAAAAATATGCATAGGTAGGCAGAAATATGCGAGTGTGTATGTACCCAAAATATTTGAGTACCTTACGGAGTACCATATATCAATAAATACCCAGAGCTTAGGTACAGGTACCTACCTACGGGGTAGGTAAATACTGCAAAGAATGCAAGGTATGATACATGACGCTATCACAAACTAATCGCTAAGTAATAATAGAATATTAATACCAGGTAACTTATCGATGGTCTAGCGGACTAGGTGCATGCAATAATGCATAGCTATCCCGTACATAGTAGGTAGCAGTAGCACAATAATAGGTATCATACGCCATACACCCTTTCTTTAACAAGAACAACAACAATCGTTGTCCGTCTAAATACTATTGTTCATTTCTCATCAACCTCGAAATCGTCGTCATAAGCTCCTCCTTGGATTCTGAAACCTACAAGGCACTCTAGGGGCCGTTCGATTCATTACAAACCAAGTCCCACCTCTCTGGTACGCGGGTACACCGAAATACGAACCCTTCCCGTCATCATCACTATCTCCTTCACTAGAGCCTCTTCAGCCCTTTTCCCCCTCTTTCATTGAGCGTCAGGCTGTCTATCTATCTTTTCTTGAAGAAGGAAAATAGATCGGAATCTGACAG